TTCCCTAATTAAAGAATTAAAGAGAACTATTACTTGTGAAAATATATTATTTTTCATTAAATTCAGAAATAACTGAAGACTCACATTATAAATGCATTTATTTTTTATGGTTATTACCATTAGTGGCTAGCCACACAAATTATGGTTAAGCAGCTATGTATTATAATTTCCTAAACTGGAAAAACGTTGAATGATTTCTCATGAAAATCTTTACAGTAGGCAAAGCCTAGACAAACTGATGTAAGTACTGAGATTTATTACAGTGTTTGCTGAGCCTTCCCACCGACTAATATAATAAGCCTGCTTGCTAAATGGCAGAGCTTACTGTTGCTCGGGTACCCAAGCTGGAGTTTCTTAAAGCTTCCAATTCTTCAGTCATTTTAGAAGCTAAGGCCTGAAGATATCCTCGTGCATCCTTTTCATCACTGACCCTAGAATATATGCAAATAAAGACAGAGATCAAGTACCAAAGTAAAACAGAAAACTTCAGTGAGATATATATTACTTTAAAGCATCATAAAGAAATAAGTGAAAAGTGACAAATTTAAAGATGTTCTTAATATCGTCTTTTAAAGGCCTACCACAGTACTACTATCTGTCAACAAGTGGGAAATGGTTTACTGAACTGTTCAGTTATTTACAGATAAAGGTGGCCACGTTTAGAAAGGTCCAAGTTATACATATCTGATAAATCAGTAAAACTTCACCCTTGAGCCACGGAATTAATACTCTTTTAATCTAACATTAAACATACACACACACTCACATGATTTCTAAAGAATATTAAGATTTCTTATTAATTAGATTCCATTTTTATCTTATGAAAGCACAACACACCCTTCTTAAAACTGAAGTACACTAAATTTAGAAAGTTTAAAGTAGAAAATTTTGTAAAAAACAAAAATTCTGTGTTGTAATAAAGCTCTTTTGTTTTCTAAAATGGTCAATGATATAACAAAGAGAAAAGATTAAAGTCTACTGAAACTCAGTTTCTAAAACCATGCCCCCCCGCCACCGCCCTGCCCCGGCCGCGGCCCAAGGCATGTGGGATCTTAGTTCCCGGACCAGGGATCAAACCAGGGCCCCCAGCAGTGGAAGCAGTGGAAGCGTGGAGTCCTAAACACTGGACAGCCAGGGAATTCCCGAAACTCAGTTTCTATTTACTACTTTAAGGCTATCTTGCTGATGTAATTATATGATTTTAGAGAGAAATGTTTTCAAATTATATTCAATAAAATTCAGGTCATTGAGTAGCCATGAAGAAAGTATATTTCAGGTAAATCAATACATATCTGTGATGCATACAGCAGACAAGTTTAAATCTTGAGGCTTGATTCAGCATCTGTTACAATTTAAACTCCTGAGGAGTTAAATTCATCTTTCTACCTACATATCACTCCATATCTACATCTTTTTGTGTTTTTTTTGCGGTACATGGACCTCTCACTGTTGTGGCCTCTCCCGTTGCGGAGCACAGGCTCCAGATGCGCAGGCTCAGCAGCCATGGCTCACGGGCCCAGCCGCTCCGCGGCATGTGGGATCCTCCTGGACCGGGGCACGAACCTATGTCCCCTGCATCAGCAGGCGGACTCTCAACCACTGCGCCACCAGGGAAGCCCCCATATCTACATCTTAAAGAGGTCCTTTAAAAGGCATTTGATCCCTTCTTCTCTCTCTCAGATGGGAAAGTGCTTTGGAGGACAATCAAAAGAATAAAGGAGCAAATAAAATCACTGTTAAGAAGTTGCCCACTCTAGTGATAGCTACATATTTGTACGCTCTACATACATGTATATATGTTCATAGCCTTTTAAAGAAAAGTGGCTTAAGAAAATAATAAGAAAGTTTGTGTATTGGGATGCTGTTACTTTCTAAAATTCTTTAACTTTGGACACCACAAGTGACAACAATCTTTTCATTTAATCACCTAATCTATAACATAAAGAATAAATATAGATGGGGGAAGATTGTTTTTCCTCCAAAGACATTTTTTATTTTCCTCTAAAGACACTCACAGAGTAGCAATTAGGAAAACTATATTACCATTTAACCAGGCTAATAGGCCTCAGCCAGTGCTGGTTTAGTATCTATCATAGCTCAGAGATCTTGGCTTATGCACATTTCCAGGAACCTATGGAATCCAATGTGTTTTATTCACTTTGGAAATCAAATAACTCCATGTAAATTGCTATAATGTTGTTTGAAATATTATATAAAAAACAATACCTTCTAACTTTGCTTTTAATTTATATCTTGAATACATTCACATTCCCTTACCACTGTGGTCTTCCACTAATTCTCAACTTTTGATTAAACCTATGTCTATTTTCTTGGCTACAAAAAATTACTGATGGGAAGGGTGATGAAAAAAGAAAAAAAAAGGACTTGGTCAACTACACGCTCATGCCATTTAAGTTCCACTAGGCCCTAGGTCTTGCACAACAATTCCTTTTCATAATCATTGTCTACTTCCAGCCTAAACCTTAAAAACATCGCACTTGGGCTTCCCTGGTGGCGCAGTGGTTGAGAGTCCCCCTGCCGATGCAGGAGACGCGGGTTCGTGCCCCGGTCTGGGAGGATCCCACATGCCGCGGAGCGGCTGGGCCCGTGGGCCATGGCCGCTGAGCCTGTGCGTCCGGAGCCTGAGCTCCGCAATGGGAGAGACCACAACAGTGAGAGGCCCGCGTACTGCAAAAGAAAAAAAAAAAAAAATCTCACTTTCCCCAACCCAACACCATCTCTTGTCCCTTCCTTCTAGGTCATCTGGTTAAGCTTACACTACTCATTCTCTTAACTTTTTAATTTTTTAAACAGTTTTAGGAGGAGCTTCAACATGGCGGAAGAGTAAGACGTGGAGATCACCTTCCTCCCCACAGATACACCAGAAATACATCTAAACGGGGAACACCTCCTACAGAACACCTACTGAACGCTGGCAGAAGACCTCAGACTTCCCAAAAGGCAAGAAACTCCCCACGTACCTGGGTAGGGCAAAAGAAAAAACAGAGACAAAAGAATAGGGACAGGACCTGCACCAGTAGGAGGGAGCTGTGAAGGAGGAAAGGTTTCCACACACTGGAAGCCCCTTCGGGGGCGGAGACTGCGGGTGGCAGAAGGGGTAAGCTTCGGAGCCGCGGAGGAAAGCGCAGCCACAGGGGTGCGGAGGGCAAAGCGGAGAGATTCCCTCACAGAGAATCGGTGCCGACCGGCACTCACCAGCCTGAGAGGCTTGTCTGCTCACGCGCCGGGGCGGGCGGGGCTGGGAGCTGAGGTTCGGGCTTCGGTGGGAGCGCAGGGAGAGGACTGGGGTTGGCGGCGTGAACACAGCCTGAAGGGGCTAGTGCACCACGGCTAGCCAGGAGGGAGTCCGGGAAAAGGTCTGGAGCTGCCGAAGAGACAAGAGACTATTTCTCCCCCGCTTTGTTTCCTGGTGTGCGAGGAGAGGGGATTAAGAGCGCTGCTTAAAGGAGCTCCAGAGACGGGCGCGAGCCGCGGCTAAAAGCGACGGGCACGAGCTGCGGCTAACAACGCGGACCCCAGAGACGGGCATGAGACGCTACGGCTGCTGCTGCCGCCACCAAGAAGCCTGTGTGCGAGCACAGGTCACTATCCACACCTCCCCTCCCGGGAGCCTGTGCAGCCCGCCACTGCCAGGGTCCCGGGATCCACGGACAACTTTCCCGGGAGAACGCACGGCGCGCCTCAGGCTGGTGCAACGTTATGCTGGCCTCTGCCGCCGCAGGCTCGCCCCACATCCGCGCCCCGCCCTCCCCCCGGCCTGAGTGAGCCAGAGCCCCTGAATCAGCGGCTCCTTTAACCCCGTCCTGTCTGAGCAAAGAACAGACGCCCTCAGGCAACCTACACACAGAGGCGGGTCCATTCCAAAGCTGAACCCCAGGAGCTGTGCGAACGAAGAAGAGAAAGGGAAATCTCTCCCAGCAGCCTCAGGAGCAGCAGATTAAATCTCCACAATCAACTTGATGTACCCTGCATCTGTGGAATACCTGAATCATCCCAAACAGAGGAGGCGGACTTTGGAAGCAACGATATATATATATATATTTCCCCTTTTTCTCTTTTTGTGAATGTGTATGTGTATGCTTCTGTGTGAGATTTTGTCTGTATAGCTTTGCTTTTACCATTTGTCCTAAGGTTCTGTCTGTCCTTTTTCGTTTTTTTTTTAGCATAGTTTTTAGCATTTGTTGTCATTGGTGGATTTGTTTTTTGGTTTGGTTGCTCTCTTCTTTCTTTCTTCTACTACCTTAAAAAATTTTTTTTAATAATTATTTTTATTTTTTATTTTAATGACTTTTATTTTACTCTATTTTATTTTATTTTATTTTAACTTCTTCTTTCTTTCTTTTTTTTTCTCCCTTTTACTCTAAGCCATGTGGAAGACAGGCTCTTGGTGCTCCAGCCAGGTGTCAGAGCTGCGGCTTTGAGGTGGGAGAGCCAAGTTCAGGACACTGGTCCACAAGAGACCTTCCAGCTCCATGTAATATCAAACAGCAAAAATCTCCCAAAGATCTCCATCTCCTCGCCAAGACCCAGCTCCACTCAACAACCAGCAAGCTACAGTGCTGAACAACCCTATGCCAAACAACTATCAAGACAGGGACACAACCCCATCCATGAGCAGAGAGGCTGCCTAAAATCATAATAAGGCCACAGACACCCCAAAACACACCACCAGACGTGGACATGCCCACCAGAAAGGCAAGATCCAGCCTCATCCACCAGAACACAGGCACTAGTCCCCTTCACCAGGAAGCCTACACAACCCACTGAACAAACCTTAGCCACTGGGGACAGACACCAAAAACAACAGGAACTACGAACCAGCAGCCTGCGAAAAGGAGATCCCAAACACAGTAAGTTAAGCAAAATGAGAAGACAGAAAAACACAGCAGATAAAGGAGCAAGGTAAAAACCCACCAGACCTAACAAATGAAGAGGAAATAGGCAGTCTACCTGAAAAAGAATTCAGAATAATGATAGTAAAGATGATCCAAAATCTTGGAAACAGAATGGAGAAAATACAAGAAACGTTTAACAAGGACCTAGAAGAACTAAAGAACAAAAAATCAGTGATGAACAACACAATAAATGAAATGAAAAATTCTCTAGAAGGGATCAACAGCAGAATAACTGAGGCAGAAGAACGGTAAGTGATCCGGAAGATAAAATAGTGGAAATAACTACTGCAGAGCAGAATAAAGAAAAAAGAATGAAAAGAATTGAGGACAGTCTCAGAGACCTCTGGGACAACATTAAACGCACCAACATTCGAATTATAGGGGTCCCAGAAGAAGAGAAAAAAAAGGGACTGAGAAAATATTTGAACAGATTATAGTTGAAAACATCCCTAATATGGGAAAGGAAATACTTAATCAAGTCCAGGAAGCACAGAGAGTGCCATAAAGGATAAATG